TAACAATAATCCTAGATCAAATTTGCCCTTCTCCTTGATGGATAAATGTCAGAAAGAACAAATATCTCTTCATCAGCTTGTCCACTTCTGAAGGAAGGGAGTTTTAAAGGGAAGCTGTAGTCAAAGCTGCTGCAAACCAAAGCACAATTCACTGCCAGTTTAGATACAAAGCTAAAGTTATTGACAGAAGTTTCAAAACTACTGAGTTGGGAACTGTTCAACCTCTATTCAGCCCCACACTATTCCATGGTGTACACAACAGGGCTTTTAAATTAGGTGCCATGGCCATTGTTGCACAGCATTAGTTATAGAAATCATTGCAGTTTTGTTCACTGGTCACTGCTGCTGCCATCGAATAGTTGCAGTAGTTTGGATCATTAAGGATTATATTTGGGGATGTTTTAATGGCATCACTTTGTTACTATATCATCTCTTTCAATTCCATTACTCAGCAACAAGTCATCAAAATAACAATACATGGGTTTTGCTGGATGAATATGATAATCCTCCCTCCCTGCCTTCTTTCTCAGTTACCCTCTTCCTCATCCTATAAATTTTGATGTGTTTGGGTTTTTATCCACCTTTATATATTTGGTTTGCCCTGCTAATGTTCATGTCTTCACCTACACGGTTAACCTGTCCTAGCTTCAGGTGGGAGGTGTTATTACACAGCATGGGTGAAAGGAGAGAAGACACACAGCTCTGATCTATCAGTTCTTGGCTGTTGAGTGCAGCCTCTGCTTTTCAAATTCTCCTCTAGGAAAGTTGAGATTGTTTGCGAGAGAAGACACACAGCTCTGATTTATCAGTTCTTGGCTGTGCAGTTCTTGAGTGCAGCCTCTGCTTTTCAAATTCTCCTCTAGGAAAGTTGAGATTGTTTGAGGGGCAATCCTCTTTGTGATATTGTTTCTACATTTGCTGTCCTACCTCTGGATCTCAACATCTCCATTTTATTCTTCCGTAAAACATCTTTGAAATATGTTGGTTGTTCTTACCAGAAGCACCCAGTTTTAGGCTGATAGTGTTATCCACAGATTTGACAGAGGGAAATCAGCTGACAGAAGCCTGTAAGACTTTCCAGTTTCACTAAATGATTCAAAATCAATTTAGAGAAGGCAAAAAAAATGTTTTGACCAAAGTTTTATTAACATGTGGTGATCATCTGAATGTGAAATGAGCAAACAGGAATGGTGGGGAAAGTCATGCTATGAGAAAGGGCCTTCAGCAGCATTTTATACAAATGAACGTAGACATTACTAAAAGGAAGACAATGGGTCTTGGTTCCCAGAGTGGAATGGAAAAACTGCCTTAAACCCCCTTGTGGGAAGCAGAGAGTTAAGGTTGCTGTTGTGTGTAATATTTCAAATCATGAAGACATTAATGCAATTAATCCCAAGTTCTGTATTGGTATCTTTAACAGAAGCCTAGTTTTATTTAATATTTTTTGGAGGAAGGACAAGTATACTGAAGAAAGAAGACTGTTGCCCCAGAACTCATTCATTCCTGTTGTAGAAAAAAAAGAAATTATTTCCTTTCAGAAGATTTGATCTATGCAGTAACATGGTCACACATTTATTTTGTCACTTGGATTAAGTTTCTACAACAGGGCTATGTTCATAAGGATGTAAGTTCCTGGCATGTTTCCAGTTATCAATACTGAAATATTAGTGATCAAGCATTTACTGAACGCCATTCCTCAAATGCAGGGGCTTCACAGCATCTTGTTGCATTCATGGAATTCATTTGTTTGCATTATCTGGCTAACTGGTTCTTTTGTATTGCCAAGGTGATGAACAGATTTGACATTTAGCTGATTACTTCACCAAAATTAAACAGAAAACAGGGCAGCCATCCAAAGTTCCTTTCAGTGTGAAACCTAATTATAAAAATGCTTTGAGCAGCAATTTCTTTTTGGATGTTAAAGTGCTTTTATTAGATTGTTCCCCTGTCATTTTAAAATTTATTGCTAGACACTTATAAATGGGGTTGCCTGCTGAAGTGGAATTATTTTATTTTCTATATTTAAGATGGGAGGAAAAAGTGTATGGAGAAAATTTTAGGCTGAATTTGTTAATATTTCATGTTTCTGAAAAGGAAGGAGAATAACTAGTGCTGGCTTTCATAGACCCAAAATATGTAATTTATCTCTGTGTTGAATAAAATTGTATCTGCTTTTTTTATTCACAATTCAGAAACTCCCAATTTCCAAAAACTATCACTTAGCAAATAATGAAATCAAATATGTGATTTAAAATTTGAGTACAGCAGTAGAAGCTTGTATCATTAATGTAGATTTACACAATTACTGGTGATAGAAAAATCTAACCATGTACTTGTACCTGTCTTTCATAAGCCATTACCTGCTCTCAAACAGCATAAAAGTACTCTTAAGTCATTTGTCAAGGACATTGAATATAAGTAGGCCAAGTGAATTTTAACCAGTAAATTTAGAGCTGAAGACTGAAGTGGATCTTAGAAGAACTTTCTTGTGAAGTATTTTTTGAATGTCTTGGAATATGTTTAACTTTTTATACTGCCTGTTGTTATTAACATCCTTTGGACCCCAGACAAGGTGTGATCTGGGGAGATTTCAAGGTGACAAAATTGTGGGGTTTTGCATATGATATTGTCTAGCACACTTTGGGTACTAAATCATCTTGTGAGGACATAGATTAATTCTTGACACTGAGATCTATTAATATACCTTGAAGCCCAGTGAATTATGTGACTCTGCTGTTTCAAGCTGTAGAATTCTGCCATAACTAGGAGGAAATATTTTGCTGTAGGTAGATTAATGTTGAAAGCTTGTCAAGAAAAGGTTCAGCATTGAAAATTTATTCTTTCTCTTTTTGCCAGTGCTAGAGCTTCTACAATAAATACCATTTGTGATCTGGGGAAAAATAGAGATATAATTTCTTTTCTATTTGTCTGTGTTATTAGAGTTTCAATGATATAGTCTATTGCTTATTAAAAACTCCATCCTAGTGAATAATCTTACAGAGGATAATTTTTACTCCTATCTACCAGAAAGCTTTTCTCATAAAATACAGTAACTGTCAATGCTTATCAAATAATTTAATTCATGCCCATTGCAGGATAATTAATGAATATAACTCAACATTCTGTATTAATAAATAACAAAAATGAGAATAAGAGATTTGCTAAATACTCTTTTTGAAGATAGTGGGTAGGACTTTGTGGCATTCGCATACTCTGAAAAAAATCCCTTGGCCCAGGATTTTTCTCCTGGGAAGCTGAGAGGCCTCAGAGAAAAAGGAAAACAGTTTTTCTCATTTGCTTCTCCTGTGTTGTGCTCATGTGTGGAATGTGTTTGGAGATTTTTTTTACCCACAGATGATTATTTCATTGGATTCTGGTGTGAGTTGTTTCCACTCATTGGCCAGTTATGGCCAAGCTGTGTTGTGACTCTGGAAAGAGTAATGAGCTTTCTTTATCTTTTTAATATTGAGTAAGTATCCTTTCTGTATTCTTTAGTACAGTATAGTATTCTTTAATATAATATAGTATAATAAAGTAATAAATTAGCCTTCTGAGGACATGGAGTCAGATGCATCATTCCTGCTTTTGTTGGGGCAATAGGACATGGATTTTGTGAGGAAGCTTTGAGCAGACAGAGAATGCAGTCTGAGCAACAGAGCTAAGAGAGTGTGTGCAACACAAATGCGGGCTTGTTTTTTGTTTGAGTCTTGAAGCATATTTCAGTACTAGGCCTTCTTAAATCCTACTTGTTTCTCTAAAGTGTCCAGAGCCGGGGTTTAGCCTGTTTAGCCTAAGTGTTTAGCCTGGAGAAAAGGAAGCTCAGGGGAGAAATTTTATCACTCTACAACTCAGTGAGAGGAGGGTGGAGCAAGGTGGGACTTGGCCTCTTCTCCCAGGCAGCCAGTGACAGGACAAGGGGAAATGGCCTCCAGCTGCACCAGGAAAGGTTCAGGCTGGCCATCAGGAAAATTCCGATGTGAAAAGGGTTGTCAAGTTTTGGAATGTACTGCCCAAGGGAGGTGGTGCAGCCACCATGACTGATCAGCACTGAGTGCCATGTCTGCTTGACAAGGTGGTCAGGCACAGGCTGGACTCAGTGATCTTGGGGGCCTTTTACATCCTAAATGATCCTATGGTCTAACTACTTGCTTGTCAATGTGATAAATTATTCAGGGCTATGTTAAATGGGGAGAAACACACATTGCTGTTAATTTGAAAGTTCAGATTATGTCCCTGTGCACAGAGAACACACTGCGTTTTGCTGTGTTTTGTTGCTCACAATGACCCCACTGGCTGTGCCCTGTTGCCATCTTTTGTTGTGCCAGTGGGTTTCCTATAATCTAAATCAATATGTGTGTATATGATCTGTCTGCCTGAACTGTGTAAGAACACTTCAAACACTCTAAAAGCATAAACTTAAGTCAGTTCTCATTATTCTGTTTCCCTTTGAAGTATGCAAGGGGTGTGTGGACCTGGCTTTAATATAAGTGCTGTACAAGCTCATCAGGAGCAGCTTGGCCAGGGTCATCTTAATAGTACTCTTTTTGATCCTGTGTTGGCTTTGTGACAATTTCAGGGAAAAGTGGCAAAAAAAAAAGTTTGTTTAGACCTTAGTGCACATTGCGGTTTGAGTCTTGTAGTAGAGCTCAAATGAGGCATAGTAGCAATTAATATTTGCTTATCAGAGCTTATTTTTGGATTTTTATTTAACTTTAGATATCTGTCAGAGAAGACTTTGTTGGACTAAAATTGATTTCACAGAAACATTAAGGGAGAAGGAACTACAAGACTTTTGGCAGGACAACGAACTCATATGCTGAACTCATTTGTAGTTGCTAAACTGAAACTTCCTGTGACACAAAGGTCACCAAGTTTAAGTTATTTTTGAAAATAAATCGAGTAGTTTAGTCACTGCCAAGAAAAGACAAATAGAAAACCATCTTTAGTTGCAAAAGTGCTTCCTACAGTATTTCTAACTTGTACCTATTGTTTCTCCATAGGTGGATGGGATACTGTGCCTGGCTGACATCCTCACTGACACCAGCCATTCTGAAGCCACCCATGCAGAAGCAGCAGCAGTAATTGCCCAGATCACATCTCCACATCTCACGTTCACTCAGCATCTCAGCAGCTTTCTGGAAAATATGGAAGAAATCGTGACAGCACTTGTCAGTAAGTTTTCTACAGGACTTCTGGGTCCAGTTAAAATAACAGGTTAGGGTATGAGCCTTTCATTAGAAATATTCCCTAAGTAATGTTTACCATCCTTCTCTCAACAGATAAAATAACAATTTTAAATTCTGAACCAGAGAATTACATAATATTTTTTGACTCCAGGCCTCATGTGAATAGAATTTATGCATATTTTTAGAAATAGTATCTGTGTGAAAGTCTATCTTAAGAGCCTCAAGAAAGACTCAGCAAAGCATCCTCTTGTCTGATTTTTGTCTATAAAAGAGGAATATTGAGAGCTGAGAAGCTTTATGCCTGTTGTATTTTCCAAACTTGCTAGGACTCAAGCTCACCATTACATTTCCATTTGTATGATAATTCAGAGGAAAAGTAGAGTCTATGAGTATTGTTACAAGAGAATGAAAGATCTGTCTTTCTTGTCTAGGCTCCTGATCCATGGTAAAGTGAGACAAAGGCAACAGCAAGACTTTCCTTAACCTGGGTCAGTGAGGATACTTTAGAAAAACAAGATGACATTTCTCATTGCTTTCTAAAGAGAGGAATATATTATTTCTGGCAGTGTGCTCCCTCCCTCTCAAATACCAGAAGCTTTCATTCAAGCATTCTCTTCTCTCTAGTCTAGAAATTCAGCTTCCCAGAGCTCCAAGTCAGGATGTACTATTTGGGTTTTCTAGTTTGATTTCTCATGTATAGTAGATCATTACATTTAGAATTTTTTTCTAGTGAACCCAGTAGTTACAGTTAAACTGGAGAACTTCAATTTGAATGCAGGTTTTTTTGATTTTTGTTTGTTTGTTTGCTTGCTTGTTTGCTTTTTAAAGAAGAAGAAAAGAGTAGTATGAGTGTTTGAGGATTCTGCTGTGACTGGGAATTATCAGAGACGTATTTAGGCATTCTTCAATAGGTTCAAATAGAACTAGTGATGCAGAAATCAAGGGAACAATTTATTCCTGATGTCCAGCAACAAATGGAGAAGCTTGTGCCCCACCACTGCCCGGAATCCGGTGGGTGGAATTAACCTGTGCTGAGCTTGGTTCTGTTGTAGCTAGCAGCATCTGACCTGGCTTGTTTCAGATGATTTTCTGGGTCATTTTAGTGTACTGCAGTCAAAGGCCAATCTGAACAGCTTATCCGGAATGTATTATCTGGTGGATCATTCCTCAGTTGTTGCTTTTTAAGTTCCACAGGAATTTTAGCTGTGCATATTCTGTCCAAGAAATGTAAGTGTTAAAAATAGAAAATGTATTAACTTTGCAAGAGCCATTTCGGTAATCACACACCACTTTCCTTGTAACATTTATAACTCAGTAATTTAATTACTGTAATATGTTTAATTTTTAAACTATGCAGAAATCCCTTTACCAGGTGATACACATCTTAGTTAAAGCACATATGTACAAGGGATTAAAAGGTAGCTGTCTCTTCAGCACTTCTTATTCAAGTTGAAAAATATGCAGGATGATTTTTGGCTACAGAGAATTAGATTTAGAGATAAGCAACATGTATATGTACCTTGTTCTAAAGAAGAGGATGGAATTATTCTCATATGGATCATTTACTTTTAGCTTTCTGCCTCCTGTATTTGATTTTATTTAGTTATATCAAGCTTTATTTTGAACAACATGCAGTGAAATATTCCCTGTAGAATGGTATACTAGGTAGAGCATATTGTTAATCAGAGGTTGTAGTGAGGTGGGTGTTGGTCTCTTCCAAGTAACAGGTGACAGAACAAGAGTAAATGGCCTCAAGTTGTGTCAGGGGAGTTTTAGATTGGATATTAGGAAAAAATTACTTCATGGAAAGGGCTGTTAAGTGCTGGAACACTCTGCCCAAGGAAGTGGTTGAGTCGCCATCCCTGGAGGTATTTAAAAGCTGTGTGGATGTGGCACTTGGGCCCATGGTTTAGTGGTGGACTTAGACACAGAATACTAAAGGTCTATGCTAATGCACAGATGAAATCAGGGGGAATGCTTTTGCTCCTCTCAGGCACTCCTATGCAATGAGGTGGTGGAGAAGCACTATTTATTTGGCATCTCTGATTAATTTTGCCTCAGCAGTGATGTGTATGAGGCCCGAGGGTTCAGTAGTGACTGCTGAGGGATGGAGGTTGGCACTCAGTTCCCTTAACCGACTTCTGTTCATGAGACCTTGTGACTGTAATTAAAAGTCCACCATTCGGCCCTCACAACCTTCCCTTTCACAGCTCTGAAGGAGTCAAAAGATGACTTATGGCAGATTTAGATTACAGAAGGTGACTTATGGTAGATTTAGGATCTGCACTGCCAGAGAAGGCTTTGCTCATCCTTAACCAGCAGCCAGGCCTTGGAAATTAAGGCACAGTGGACCCTAGAAACTGATTATTGGTGTTCTAGAGGGATTACTGGGGCTGCTTTAGCTTCTATTAATAGCACTTAGTAGTTTTTCAGCTCAGGCCTGTGTATAAAAATATTTAATTAAGCCATAATTGCTGTAGTGCTCTTTGGACAAAGTCAGAGATATCAGTTGTGGTGTTGTTGTGGCCGTATACTATTACATATGTACAATTCTCCACAGTCTTTTTAAAAAAATTCTTCCTGTATGCTCTCACAGTTTTGATTTCCTTATTTCTTTATGTCCTCATCTGAATTCTGCTGTCAGCTATGAGTTTGCAGTTTGCTCTGTGGGTAGCACAGCAATCCCCTTCTCTTTTTGAGGAAGGTAGATCTTGAAAGAAATACATATGACTTTTTCAGGTGACAGGCTAGTTTCAGGCCTTTTGCAGCTCGTAAGCTCATCTCACTAGCTAGATGAACAGCAAAACTGAATGGCTTCCTTCCAAGAACTTAGGAGATTTGGTCCCCCAAAACACCTCACCTTCCTTCTCAGAATGAGAAACTAGAGCAGAAAGGGTGGTGTTCTCTGTGGTGTGCTGCAGGAAGCTTCTGAGCTCACTCCTTGGCTCCTGCAGCAATGGGAACTGTAAAATCCTACCTTGGGGTTTTTACTGAGCACTGAATGTCCTGGTGGAATCTGAGTGCTGCTCATCTTGTCTTTAAGAGCTGCCAGTCAAGCAGTTTTGGTAATGCCAAAGACCTTAGAGAAGCCTTCCTTCAAATTCCTGAACAAATGTGAGTTTGACTGAATAGCTCCCCTTGTTCAGTCTTGTATTTGGGGGTGGGGATGGTGTCTGCCCATTCCAGCAGTCTCATGGAATATTTTGCTTTTTAATTTGCTCTATGCCTATCGTTGCAATGAGGAAAATATATTCAGCTGAAAAGAAAAACAGCACTACAATACTATATTTTATAATGGTATCATAAATTGCAATTTTGGCTTTTGACAGGAAATCCTTTTCGGTAAGTAATGGAGTGAGAATCTTTTCCCAGAATATATAATATTATGTCCCAGGCAGTAGACATTTGCCTAGGGAGATGTACATAAAAGATGAGTAGGCTTGAAAATTTTTTTATTCAAGATTTTATTTTGGATTATGGAACCAATGTGAAATATATTTTCTTGCTGATGGTGTCCTGACTGATGTCCATTCTGAATGATCAAGTCATCCTGGTCAGTAAAAAAGATGATTTGGAAATGAGTTATAAAAAATGTCGAAATGATTAAACAAAGTAAGAAGTTTCACAGCTGATACAAAATGTGGTCTGAATATTAGAAAATCGTATAAAAGACCACTCAAACTTAAAAGCTCTGTTTTCCATGCAAATATTTAAGTAGCACAAGTACTTCTAGAAAACTACCTAATATTTCAAAGTATGTTACTACTTTAGTATTAATGCTGATTTAAGAAAATTCTATTCTGCTAGACTGAGGTGTGCTTTACTGTAAGCAAATCTGGGAGGAAGACAGCTGAAATGCTAGGAAAGAACATTGAACTTTTTTTTCTTTGTGCCATTTTATTTCATCTTAAACTCACACTATGTCCTTCTATACAGGACATAGAATTATTATTAGTTATCACCCTCCGTGGTGGTACAAATAAGTAACATTCTGCCCAGGATTTGGATATTGGATAGATTGTGTACTGGCTGCAAAAAATATTTTACTGCTCAAGCACCTTTAAAATTGTTCTGCCTTTTGACTTCTGGAAAGCTTTTTTGTCCAGATGATAAAAAAACCTTTAAAAAAACCTTTAAATAAACCTAAACTAAAAAAAAAAAACTTTCCTGTCTTTGTTATCCAAAAACCAACCTCCTTCTTTCATTTCCCAGGAAGTGTTACATTAAGTCAGAAAAGAAATCTAGAACTGAGAGCTGGATTTACTGATAAACAAGGTTATTATTGCCCATTTTACAGAAGCATGTGACTGTTTCTGTAGCCAGCAACGTTATACTGAGATTCCTTACTTTTGTAGCAAAATGCATTGTAAAAAAAACAGTCATAAAGCACTATTTTCCAGATTCCTTAGTCCCCAGTTTTGGGTCAAAATGGATATGAATGTCCCATGTTCTGTTTCTTTCTGCAGATAGTTGCTTTCTGAAGAACAGATTTTTTACTTCAAAAAAGCATCAAATATCCTTTCAGAAAGTTTCATGCCTGAATTCAGCAGTGTAGTGTATGCAGTCTCAATGGAGTTTAACATCTGTCACAAGAGGGGTTTAAAACCCCTTCTCATCCAAGATCTTCTTGACTTTAACCATCATCTCAGACTCTACATAGAAAACTATGAAATATGTATGTTTGGGCCCAGTATGTTTATGTATAACACAATTTTTCTCTCTGCATTCCCACTTGTCTCTTCGGTGTTGTTAGTATTCTCACCTTACCTGTGAAGCTGTGGAGGTATAGCCTAACACCTTCTGAGCCTCTCTTATTCAGGCAGACAAAGAATTAATGTGCAGTGAACACATCCATTTTAACGTGGTTATTCCTAGGTCTAAAATCAGTGAATTATGTTTCAAAACAGTTTGAGGTGGAGAAATGCTCTTCAGCTGGAAGGAAAAATTTTAAATGATTGCTGCTTTTTTTTTCCTAATAAATT